GGTTAAGGAAGGTTAAATGAAATGTTGAGTTAGAAAAAGAAATTCCTATATATAAATAGTATTATTTGTTTATTCATTTATTTTTTGCCAATATACATTTGACCAATATTCTATGCCAGTGAATGGGCTCCAACTAAATAAATGCAAACATATAATAACAATAATAATAATAATTTTTCTCTCTAACTGGTGATGTTTTGTTTTAAAATGGAAGGGTGGATAAAATCTCATGTTTTCCTTAGGAGTTTAAAATTCAAATACATCCTCCAATTTCTCATTCATGTTTTCAATTTCATACTTAGAATCTAGGTTTTCCATTTTCACAATGTAATGATTTTGCACAGGAGGGACCTTTGCGGTGGGTGAGAGACAAACCACAGCGGGTGACGCCATGCAGACAGAGCTTAGGTGAGGAGTTTATTGAGAGAAGGGGAAGAGGTGGAGAGAGAGAGAGCGAGAAAGAAAGACAGAAACAGAGAGAGAGAGAGACACAGAGAGAGACAGACACAGAGAGAAACAGAGACAAAGAGAAACACAGAGAGAGACAGAAAGAGACAGAGAGAGAGGCAGAGACCTACTTGCTTCTTCAGAAAGACAGTGAAGAGAGCAGGAATGGGTGGAGCTTGGTTTTTTGTTTGTTTGATTGGTTGGTTGGTTGGTTGGTTGGTTTGGTTTGATTTTTCAAGACAGGGTTTCCCTGTAGTTCTGGTGCCTGTCCTGGAACTAGTTCTTGTAGACCATGCTGGCTTTAAACTCATAGATATCCGTCTGTCTTTACCTTCCCAGTGCTGGGATTGAAGGCAGGAGCCACCAACGCTAGGCTGGAGCTTGTCTTTTTCTTTCTTTCTTTTTTTTTTTTTTTCAAGACAGGGTTTCACTGTAGTTTTAGAGCCTGTCCTGGAATTAGCTCTTGTATACCAGCCTGGCCTCGAACTCACAGAGGTCTGCCTGCCTCTGCCTCAAGGGACCTTTTTCTACCTGCATACAGACTAGTGACATAGCAGCCATAGGATGCTGGACTGGCCAAAGTACTGCCTGAGTGCATCCTGCCAGGTGACAGGGGCCAGCATAATGCCTGAATCCTAGCATTCATAATCCTAACATACATAACAGTGTAGGCAGTTCCTGGTTCTATGTTTGGCTTTTGATTCATTTTCATGAAGAAATAGAGATAAAACTACTGTGTATGTATTAAGGCCCACTTTACATTATGAACTTCAGGAAAAATAGTTGGTGAGGGTCTTGCACTCTCAGAATCTGCTTCATGAGTGTGAGACAGTGTGTAACTTCGGAAAGTTAGCGATATCAAAAATATGATTTTACATATCAAAAAATTTCTCTCAGTAAAATATACTTCTCAAATGAGTCACACGAATCAACTTCTTGTGAATATTGCCATCTCCTCAATAAAGTATTAATTTACTCAAATTAGAAACAGTTTCTATCTGCTGCTTCTTCCTGAAGATGAAGCAAACTAAGCAGCTGATCAACACTGCAAACGACTGACATTTTACACATAGCGCATTCCAGAGCATTGGTGTTCCACAGACTGGCCAACTTAGCCTCGCTATAGGGTTCTTCTATTTGTCAAGATTTTCACAGGAGAACCAAACTGGTACCTAAGACAAGGATGTGATCTAGAGTTTTGCAGGAGAACCAAGGCATAATTTTATTCTTGGTTAGTACTGCCCAGAGTCAAGAGCAGTGCTCTGCTCTAAAGAGTAAGAGAGAAAAAGAGAGCAAACATTCCCTGCTCCAATGTCCACTCTGCTCAGACCTTTAAACTGGATGGGTGATGACTGCCTACAGAGGAGAATTCAATCTTCATTACTTATCTCAAGTGTTAATTTGAGATATGTATCTCAACCACACATAACCTTACAGACTCACATAGTGTGTCGCATAATCAAATTATGTGAACACTCTGCCCTAGTCAAGTTGTCATGAAATTAATCCCCACAGTCCTCACTTTTATGTGTTTTAACAAATGATTGCATCTTTCCCAGAAACATTCCTTCCTTTGGACATCTATGGCAAACAAAGATTATGACAATCAAACATGACAAGACACGCCAAGGAAATGAGCTGGAAAGGAAAACAAATGGTCAAAAAAACCACATTCATGTAACAGAGCATAAGTCTGGGAACATCTACATTTTAAATAAGCAAGTAGATTTTAGAGGATTGTCCAGAAAATGCACTTCAAGTAAAAAGATGTGTTGGATGAACATAGTTGAATCTCATACTTCAAACTGTGCTATTGCTTTTGGTACATCTCTCAGCTACTTTTGTACTCTGACCACAGAGCTTGAAACCTTCATTGCCATATCAAAGCTCTTGACAGAGTCCCAAAGATTCATAAGCAGAAAATAGATCATGTAATCTTTCTTCATAAAATAGTGTTTCTATGTTTTAACTATTAGAAATGTAAACAAAAAAGGAAAAACAATAAGAACGTGGCAATCTTAAATAAAAATATATTCCAAGGACTGGAGAAATGGCTCACTGGTTAAGAGCACTTGTTGCTCTTACAGAGTATCTGGGCTCAGTTTCCATAGGGGCTTGCAACCATCTTTAATTCCAGTTCCAGGGCTCTGACCCCTTTTCTGGCCTCTGTGAACAAAAAAAAAAAATAATAATCACACATGGTACACATACATACATGCAGGCAAAAAAGTTCATACACATTTTAAAAAATGTTATCCCAAGAAGTAATTCTGAGGATATTCTAAATGCTGAAAGTATATGGGTGTCATAGCACTTTCTTTCAATAGATGAGCAAAATGTGGCACAGCTTTCTTGGCAAAAGTTAAGCAGTATACATTTTTTCTAAGTCATTATATATATATACATGAATATATATTAATGAATAAATTAAAAATTATATACAAATTAACACTCTAAGAAAACTCTATGTTCCATAAGAAAATTAATCAGTTATTTGAGAACTCCAAAGTGTTGAAATTTTGCAATTCATTTTTATTATGACAAGATTATATTCCAGGCTGTGATAGCAAAATCCATTTTTGAAATTAATACTTTAAGTCTAATTTGATATTAATTTTTTTTTTGAGACAGGGCTTCTCTGTGTAACAGCCCTAGCTGTTCTGGAACAAGCTATGTAGACCAGGCTGGCCTCAAACTCAGATGTCCACCCCCTGAGTGCTGGGATTAAAGGTGTGCACCACCACTGTCCAACTCAAGATTAATTTCTAATTTTTTTATTATAATATCTTATTACTTCATTGATAATTTCATACACACATACAATGTAATTGTGGCCACCTTCCAGCTCCACCTCTCCTACCTCTCCTCCCATCTTTATGTTACTACACACCATTTTTTGATAATCCAAAAAGTCCAATTTGTGCTACCATATACTCATGGGTATAGGGTCATTCTCCAGCATAGTTGATCCACCAGAATCCACAACCTCAGAGAACTGACTCTCCCTCCCCAAAAGCCATACAGCTCTTTCCTCCCCTGTGCTGGAATGCTGCCTGGCTTGCTCTTGGGTAGGCAAGCACAGCCCCTGTGAGTTAAGGAATGCAGCTGGTCCTGTCACATCTAGAAGAAGCTCTTTTGCTCTGGTCCTCACTGACTCTGGCTCTTAAAATCTTTCTACCTCCTCTTCCCTGATGCTCGTCAAGCCTGGAGGGAGAGGAAAGTGGCTCTCTGTGCTCTGACCCATTGTGAGTTTCTGTGGTATCTATCCGCTGCACTGAAAACCACTCTGATGAGATCTAAGCGTTTCATTAGTAGAGGGGTGAGAGATACAGACGTAGAAAGCAGGTTGATACGATGTCCATTCAGTAAAGTAATGGTGGTAGGTTCCTCCTCAAGCATATGACCTTCCCAAGCATGTGTTTTTAGTCAGAACAGTAGTAAGAATGAACGGCCTCCAGTGGAGCTGACAGTAAATTGGTTCCTGTTCTGTTACTATTGCACCCACGGGCATTAACATACGTGCTGATTATTATTTTAGCTCTATGAGTTCACAGCTGAGTAAGACTGTTGACGACTTTTCTCTCTAGCAGTCTGCATATCATTTTCAAATACTGTGAAAGCCAGTAGGCAGGAAAAAAGCTTCCTAGCTCATGCCAATGTGATTTCTCCATGTCCTAGGACAATATCTTGTAGGAAGAGAGATAGCCATAGGGAAACCTACTATTTTATTATATATACATCTATTCACATAATAAAGTTTAATTGGAGTTAGTCTACACAGGGGACAATGCTCCTCCCCAAAGCCATAAGTCACCAAAAAAGTCCAGGGCCATGTATGTGATACTTCTAGAGTTGTTGGTCAGGGGTGTACTGCAAACCCCCAAAACAATATAGGTTATTGCCATTGCTCTTAGTTACACACCAGCTAATATATATATATGTATATATATATATATATATATCAAAAGCTTATATAAATTAAAGTGGTATTAAAGTCCATAAAGAATTTTGGGGGGGGGCTGGAGAGATGGCTCAGTGGTTAAGAGCATTGCCTGCTCTTCCAAAGGTCCTGAGTTCAATTCCCAGCAACCACATGATGGCTCACAACCATCTGTAATGAGGTCTGGTGCCCTCTTCTGGCCTGCAGATATACACACAGACAGAATATTGTATACATAATAAATAAATAAATAAATATTTAAAAAAAGAATGTTTTTGCCTATGGTAATGACGACTACAATGTAGCTTACTACAAATAAGATGGCTTAACACAAGCACATAAAACATCTAGTTAATGTTCTTGGTTCTAGGTGTATCTCATAAAGCAATATGAGTTTTACTTTGAATCATGGTGATTTTGAGTTCTTTACATCACTTTACTGTTAAAAAAAAATGTACTAAAACATTGGTTTACCCAAGGGCCAGGGGTTAATTGACATACGTGCATACTTGGGTTAAATACTTAAAATCTGCACATTTGATATTCTGAAAAAAAATATATACGATGCCCAAATGCAGTGTTGCCCCATAACTTTGTTTTTTATCCAATCCAGCCCTAATGTATGCAAGCATTTTTGGGAATGTTTCTGCAATTATTCAAAGACTGTACTCGGGGACCGCCAGGTACCACATGCAAATGCTGAGAGTGAAAGAGTTCATTCGCTTCCACCAAATCCCCAACCCTCTGCGGCAACGGCTTGAAGAATATTTCCAGCACGCATGGACTTACACCAACGGCATTGACATGAACATGGTATGTACTTCTGTTTCCCAAAACAGAAGCTCCGCAGGCATTACAGCCATAGCTAAATGAAAGGCCAGTCTCACCAGCTTTGAGCCCCGTGCTTTTGTTTCCTTCTCTTGGATGTTTATTTTTTCTCCCCTGGAGATAGTGTCTCATTCTCAATTCATGGCATTGCATGGTGCTATATCTAGTTATACTGTGTGGCAAAGGCATTATAACGTGATGCAAACTGCTATAACTATGTGTCATAGAGTTCCCATCTCCAATTCAAGGAAACATTGGTCTTAGCTAAAACTCAGGCCTTCGTGGTATGGCCTGGTTACAAACGAGCAAATAAATAACAACAAGAAAAGTTGCTGAGCCTATGCTCAATTAAGATTCCAAAAACCAACTGTGACAATTGGATGAGCCTAAGCAGCCATCCAAGATGAACATACTTTTGGAGTAGGACATCTTGAATATTTGTAGGAAAGTTTAGGGACCTTAAGTATGTCAGAAAGCATTTTCTGATAGGAAGTTTCATACTTCCTTTAACAATTAATTACATTCCATTTCAATATATTTACTTGGTTTAATGACTCTCTCTTCTCAAGGAGGGGACAAGCTTTCCTTAACACCTTTTAAATACTTAGTATTTTTTTTAAAAAAAAAATACACTTTTCACAAGCATCTCAATCACTGCATAGCAGTCTAGTTAAGATGAATGGGTTCTGAAACGCTCTTTTTGGGATTAAGAGCATTGCTTTCACTATTTACTTTGCTGTTTGGCTTTAGATATTTAATGCTAAAGATAAATTATGCCACAAAGCCAAACCCCACTGCTTAGTACAGAGCTATAGAAAAAAAAAAAACACCACATGTCCTCACATCACTGCCCTGTTCTGAAAATAAATTATCCATACTTGATTCCATCAATTACACGATGCCATTTTTGTGTGAGTGTATATGGACAATTTAGATGGCTATTTACCATTTGGCCAGAGATGTTCCAACAAAAAGACAATGGATCAAAATCAGAAATCACGGTGAAAGCCATAGAGCACTTGCTGCTAACTCAAAGACACATTTATATGTCGATAAATTTATCATAGCTGCATGTGATTTATTTGCTGAGAAATACCATCATATTATCATAAAATTTTTAATTTGAAGAAATACACGAGCTCCTTAGAGCCGAAAAAATGTAGCTCAAGCCGAGGAGCTGTGATTTTCAGGTGTCCCAAAGTTCACGGTGAAAAAGCCACTTATTAAATTAATCTCTTCTGAGGTGGTTTTTAATCTAGCAAGAAAGAGCACCTGTATATATTGGTTGCTTTTATAAATTGTTACTGTGCTTGTTTAACAAAGATACCAGCATTCAAAACCGCTGAGGAATCTCTAGTGCCGGGCTTGCTTAAGCAGTGTCAAGTATTTTTAATTAAAATATGCGTCACTCAATTTTATTGTTTCATACTGCCAGGGTATTTCAATAACAGTAATAAAACAGCCATTTATTTATCTCCCTTCTCCATAAAACTTAGATTTATAACCATTTTTATGATAAAATATTTTGTGACAACTATTTACCTATCATTGTTTGACTCTATTACCTATAAATATGGTTTCTATACCACTTGCCTATTTACAATGTACTTATGAAAGATTTATCTCTTTCCTGTCTGCTTCACACCTTAACACATGGAATCACAACACCCACCGGTAAGAACAGGAGGTATTTATATCCAATTTAATTCTCGTGTAAATTGTGGAGAATACCCTTGTTATCTGTCAGGTTTAGAGCTTGTTAAATGATTTCCAGCGTTAGTTCTGATCTCTTTTTTGCATGATATAACAGAGGAAATACAGAGCAAGAAGCTGGGGAGGATAACATGGGTGAGGCCAAGTACAGAATAGCAATTCTCCATTTCAGTATCAACTTGACCTCCAATAACGTTGATGTACAATTCCCTACGTCCCACAAAAATCCACTTCTCTGCCCCCATTCCCATGCTGGTAGAGGTTATGGGTATACGGTTTGCATTAGATAATTGTCATAAAGAAAATGTCATTCTCTTTCATCATCCTCTCTTCATGATGTAGGTGCTTTTCTCTCCTCTCATCTGCATGCCAGTTTTACATGATCCTGGAGCGTGTGAGCTCTAAGCCATGTGCCGCTGAGACTTGCATGTAGTTTTGAAAACTTGACTTTGCACGAACTCCTTGTTTGTACATGGTGTCTACATTTTCATTTTGTGACTGCAAAGTGAGTAAAAAAGAAAAACAAACAAACAAAAAAAAAAACTCAGTATGAGATAACTCCGCACAGAGCAAATGGAAGATGTTTGCTATAAGTATGATGTGTAAAACAACATTGATTAGAGAAAAGCAACTGTGCTATGAGATTGCCAAAACCACATTGTTAATGATTATTGTGTCTTGTCGAGTAATTGTTGGTAAAATTATAATTTTAAAACAATTGAAAATTAGCTAGTTTATGTACTGTGATACATAAAACTACATCAAACTGTTGTATTTTGCATCAACATTCCATATTATTTTATTTAAGTATAAACTTAAATATAATTTCTCATGAAGCATTTCAGGCCATTTTTTACTGTTCAATCACCTTCAAATGAAGTAAAGGTTTCCAAACACACAGTAAATTCACTTAAAATTATTTCACAATCCAAGACATTTGATTGCTTAGGAGACCACCAAAACATCGAAATAATTGGCCTAAAAAAAAGTGGGGCCATATCCCTTACTCCTTTTGTTTTTTACTTTTCATATATACTGCTGCCAGGATAAAAAACAATTCCAGTTCCAGGATACAGTTCCAGGATAAAAAACAATTATGGATTCCCTTTTACTTGAACCAAATAGACTAAAGAAAAAAAGGAAAAGGTCAAACCAACAAAGGTAGTGAAAGGAATGTGTTTTTCAGGGTCTGGCTTCAGTTTTAGCACTGTATAATTGTCTCAAACATGTGCCCAGATTAATCCTGAAGAATTCATGCAGAAAACGGACTGATTGATAATAAAGAGATGTGTTCTCAAGTTACAGCTAGCAGCATCTCAAGGAATTTCTGCAAATCAAAGCCATCTCTTAACAGAACCAGAAACTTTCTGAAGTTAGCCAACATTATTTTAGTTTGACTGACAAAAAGAAAATAAAAAACTGTTTTCCATCTAAATGTAGAATTCAAGCAGACTAATACCAGACTTGTGAGCTAGGCTTGATACTTGATGGTCCAAATGTCCCTTATCATGACAGGAAGTAATCTCTATAATTTAATATTGGCTTGGAAGAAAATCACGTGTGCACATTTAGTGGGCTTTTGCCTTGCCTAAAATTTCCACTGTGACAACTTACTTAATGGCTAGGAAACAGGAAAAATCAAGAGACCTGGGCACTTGTACTCAGCCTGCCACCATCTTGAGCAAGTCACTTATACTTTCTACAGTTCCAAAAAAACTCACCACGTATAAGCATGTGAAGGCAGCTGTACTCAAACACAGTGTGTACATCATAACCTATCCGCTGCCACTTCCTCCACTTCCTGTAAGGAGCATCCAAGCCTTCCTCATGGAGCATCTTGCAATGGATGTAGTTCAAAAACCACTCGACTAAGTTGCTATTAGAATTATTGATTGTAGAGAAAAAAGATAACCAGCAGGAAACCTAAGGAAGAGAGCAAGTCATGCATGCACATGTGTGTGTGCGCACACACACACACACACACACACACACACAGAGTGAATTAGGTAGTCCGGGCACATTTTTATTTAGTTGGTTTTCGGAAGAGCAGGGTTGGGGAAATGGACTTTTTATTAGGACTGTTTAGTGAAGGCAGTTTTGAGAGATGCGAATAGACAGTATCCGGACTAATGGACTAGATGATAAGATTCTCCAGAAAGGTGAACAGGTCAAAGTCACTTAGAACATAGTGATTATGTGTTCAGAAAAATGCGGTGTGGTGTCTTTCAGGAAAAAGAGAGAAAGTATGGTATTACATGATCTAACCAGACTCTCCATGAACGGTGAGGTGGGTGATGATATATGGGAGGGGTAGAGCTGTAGGAGCAGAGTCTTGGAAGATTTCAGTGAAGTCATCCTAGCAGGCTAAAAGTCTTTTCAAGCCCAGTGATATTCTGCATGACACAGCATGTTTCTTAAAGGAGTCAGCACGTAAACCGAAGGAGAAGTAAGACTGATAAATGACAGATTAGTTAACAGAGGTCATAATTTCTTGGGGCTGGTGGGATTTCTAAAGGATATTTTAATTATATTGTGTTTTCCTTATTTTCACATTACTTCTAGTTTCTCAACTCCCTGGCAGAAATGCCTCCAGTACTAGCATTGGAGTCACCGCTGCATTTGTGATTTAATTGTACTCAATGAAAGTCTCATCTTCAGGACAGGGAGACAGCTCACTCTGCCTCAAAAGCATGAAGAATTGAGTTCAATCCCCACAACTCATTCAAAGAAAAATAAAAAAATGTAGTAGCTCTTACTTAAGACTCCACCCCCAGGAAGACAGACAAGGCAGAGCTCCAAGACTCTCAGTCTAACCAGAGCAGCCTACTAGGTATATTCCAGGCTAATTAGAGACCTTGTATCAGTTTTTTGTTGTTTTTTTTTTTTTAAAAAAAAAAGTGGACAGTAGCTGCTGACTTCTGGCCTCCAAAAGCGTGGGTACACACATGCATTTGGGTATGCACACACACAGACACATTGAGGGAAAGCCATTACTCTGTAAACTTATTTAAATAATTTCACATGCACTCCACTTTCGTGTTCAGATCGCAGCTTTTGACACATCACAGCGAAGTGCAAAGGTGGGAGGACCTACACTTGTTTGTACTCAATGAATGAAATCAGATCAGAACAATCCTTACGATAAACCCAGTCACCAGTGTAGAAGGAAAACATAAAAATAGTGTAGCATGCTTTTAGATCTTTTAATCCTCTACCTTTTCTATAAACCTTTGATTTATAAACAGAGTCAGTGAGCAACATTTGGTTAACCG